CACATGCTTATGCAATCTCATTTCTAACTGTAATTTTAATTGAGTGAGAGAGGATGAGAGATAACAGAGTCAAGAGGAACTGAATAAATAATGAGCTGGAGATCTGCAATGAAGAAAGATTTGAAGCGATTTTAAAAATGGAAACGATGTGTTGATCAGTGTTGATAGTGTGGCAGTGGCCACAAACAAATCAGCCTCTGTTAACTGAGAATCATAACAATACTTTTGATTCATTGTGAAACTGTAGCAGGCCAACAAAGTCACCTGGGCAGGCGGTCCTTCACATATTTTACACTGGTAAAAGAATGAGGCCCCTGGTGACTGAATGGGCTCTGAGTGATTGGATCTCAGTACACATTTCCGCGCGTTCAGACTTCATCACCGCAAAGTGCAATATAATGAAGCAGCATAGGCCAAGAAAATGTGAGGACAAAATCCCGTTAGCCAGACACAGACATCAATAACAGATAGGGCGCGATCATATTTTTGTCGTTCCCTTTTGCAGGTCAACATTTATGTAAGAAAACAAAGTGAGCATTGTAATCTCAATTCTAAGCACGAACATTGTAATTCTCATTCTCAAAATTGACATTTGCTAGCATACAGTCTTCTTCACTACCTTTGTGGATGCTGAGTGTTACCTTTTGTTAATTATCTTTTGATCACGAGAACAATTGGCTGGAACATTTATTATTTATCACATGATTCATGACACATGACGTGCGTGTGCTTCCATGTGTAGTGGGGGCAGTGTGTTTTTGTTTGCCTTCTCCTTTGATTGAACATTAACCCAGCAGTGCCCGTTCTAGTAAAGTAAGTACACACTAGCTGTTTTATATCCACAATAGTAGAGATGCAACACCTATAAACCAAACTAAAGACAAAAATATAATTAATTAGATTTCTTTTCATAAAGAAGATCTCTAATATTTCACTGTTAGTAGAAGTCCCAATTATGAAGCCGAAAACAAACCGACCTTATATTTACACTTTGTTATAATTGTGTCTTTTTTATTTATCAAGTCAATTATAAAGGAATTTACACCACTGCATTTTTCACACAGTGAGAATTTTTTTTTGACCTTCCTTCAACTGCAGCAGCAGCAGCAGCGTCACTGGTAACTCAAACAAGGCAAAAGTAGAACTCAAGGCAAACTTAATGATACATTTAAAGTATGACTGTACAGACAATAAAGAATTGTGTGCACTACAAGTAGGAACCTTATACTATACTATATAATATATTGTTATGTATCTATTTTGCTGTTGAATACATATAAATGTATTCAATGTAATGTAAATAAGGTCAAAGCTAAACAAGATGAGTAATTAAATATATAAGTAAACTGAGTGCAGGAGGGTTACTCACATTTAAAGTCCACGTTGGGCAGCAGATGCAGCCATCACATGTTCCATAGATGTACCCTGAAGTTTTCAAAATTTGAGTTAATCATTTTGTAGGATTTTCGTCATTGTTCCACATCATCCTGTCCCATTGAATGTCTGTCACGATGTGTTATGCTGCAGCTTGAGTCAGCAGAAACAAGACATTGATACAGATTGGAGACTAAAAAATAAAAGACAAAAACAACGTGATTTTTTGTTTGAAAATGAAACACTGTTGCAAATATACTTACAGCAGTTTGGATAAATTCACTGATTAGCAGGTACTATGGAAAAATGGACAGATGGATAGATAGTTGGATGATGAGGAGATAAAGTGGGAGGGGGTGTGGAAGCAATTCCTTGCACACCTCTCAGTCATAAATATGGAAAAGGAACAGTGCGGCTCAGCCAACCCTCCTACGAGCAGAATGTTATCCTGCTTCTTTGGCAGGGTAAAAAATACCTCTAGCTAAGAGAGATGCAGAGCACAGATAAACAGATGAATGGAGTTACTAACAGAGAGAGAGACACAAATAATCAGAATGGAGAGTTTTGTTAAGTTGTTTTGATTCCTCGTTTAAAGTTTAGTTATGTTTTAAGTTAAGTTTTTTCAAAATGAATTATAAGGCTAAATATTCAAAAGAAAGAAACACTAAAATGTCTTATATCAAAGTAAACATCGATCAGCCTCATTAAAACTGGTAAATGCTTTTAATGATGTATACCGAGCTACTGGAGCCCACAATGGGTCACACATCATTTATATTCAGACACCTAAATATTGCATTAATGTATATTTACTGTCATTATGAAAAAATGGGATATCCTCTGATGCTATAATATCCTCCACTCTTTTGCACCAGAGGTTGTAACATTAATTTACGCATAGCACAGTGGAATTCAGAGACCCAATTTACAACATCATAATTGTTGAATTTTTGAATTGTTGAATCTTGATAACACTGATGTGTTTGCATGCTTATGTGAAGAACTCTAAATAGATTCAATATAAGTTGCGGAACAGGTCAAAGATGAAGAAGTGGAGACTCAAAGGTGTCGATGTGTTTGCTTGAGTCTGTGAACCTGACGCAGACGATTTATCCGTTTTTAGGATGTCTGCAAAATTAGATCCAGCAACAACGCATTCACAACAGCTCGGAAACCTCCGGAGGATTCATGTGAGGGGTAGTGCAGCATGCTGAGGCAGGCCGTAAAGTATTAATTCCACCACAGAGATCATTTGTTTTTGTTGACAGCACATCAACACTTTCTGTCTGTGCTTATCACCAAAAGATCTCTTGACGTCTTCGTCAGTGTCTTCTATGTATCGCAACACTTTTTTATCCTGACATATTTTTTTGGGGTTGTATTTCATCAATATGCCAACTCAGACCCTGATGATCCCAGGCTGTGTTCTCACATTGACTCATACGGACATTCTCCTGAGTTTGTTGCAAGAGAAACTCCCATACAGCCTGTTCGAAGAAAGTCTGGAGTTCAGTACATGTTTCAAAGCAGCTTTACTGTGTGTGTCCCTGCCTTTTGCCACATAAAATCTATAATTGCCATTTACATGTTGCTGTTGATTGCAGTAGTTGTGTACTGATAGGTCTCAAAAGGGTAAAGCTGTGATACTGTGATACTTCTAGTTTTAGGTCTAGTTCACAATATTTACTACAGTAATAAGTGTATTCCCTCACATACAAGTATGTATATTTGTCACAGGACAGATCAAAGTACGCATGCTCTTTCTATCTATAACATTTGTATTTAACTATACCTTTCTCTAAATGTAACTGCGTTCAACAGCGAGCTTTTTCCAGTGTGGTTTCATAATCTGGGTCAAGTGTGTCATTGTTATTGACCTGGTCAAGAAGCTGCTTTCACTGTAGCCTCAGACCTCTGCTTTTCTGTCAGCTTTCATCTGTTTTATTTCAGAAGACTCAGATTTGAAGCCTATTTAGTTTTGTGTGTTGTTGCATCCATGTTAACTGTATTCAGAATTTACTTGAGACTCCTTTTCAATCGGGTGGCGGTGCCCTGCTGCTGAAACTCTTTGCAGCTTTTGTAAAGGAGATGGCTTTTAAATGTGAGGAGTGGTTATGGGGTAAATAGTTGTTTATTCATCGTCATGGAGTACATGTGGCTGTTGACATGCATTAGTGAGTAAATAGGAATACTTCTCTGCACTCTAAAAGCTCTTCTACTGATTAGTGAGAATGTAGAGCGATAGAGAAGAGAAGGATTTGTTTATCAAACACCTCCCTCCCTCAAATCTGATTAGCTCAATGTCACATTGAAGAGCTGGACCTCTCAAGTCTCTGGTGCGTGTGTGTATGTGTCTTTTCCTACATGCAAGTGTTTTGGCTCACTATAAAAACATACGTTGCTTTTTCTCTCTCACTGAGATTTCTTGTGTATGTTCTGTGTCTTCCTCTTCCTCTTCGCCAAATCCCTTTTCTCAGTTAATTTACTACATGAAGGTGTATTTGAGGGTGTTGGGGGGGAGGGGGCAGTTCTTATGTGTATTTAAACTTGATATACACAAATGGAATTGAAATTGATGAGAAAATTAAATATTCATACACTTTATTAGTGACCAACAGGAAACTGGACACCTTACCACATGATTACAGGATTTTCTTTCCCCTCTCAGGACACAACACAGCAAATGCTGAAATAATAAGAAAACTCTTTGATCTTCATGGAAAATGAGACAGATTCGCCATGATTTAGGACATATTTTATTGAGGTTGCCTTTACCAAGCCAGTTCTTCACAATTCCAGGATAAAAAATATATAAATTCAACAATACTGCACCTGTTGTTGTGCACTAATGACCTTTAAATAAACCTGCAACTCCTCTCAGTGATCCTGTTTGCCCCCTGTAACTGTTAGGGCACATTTATCTAGAAAGGATTGTGTGCGTATGTGTGTGTGTGTGTGCTTCCAACACTGTCAGACTTCACCAAAACAACTCCACAGACACTCCTCTTATCTGGTCATCCTCTGTACAGTCAGTTATATATATTTATATATATAAAATATCCTTCTTACACATCTGTCAACTATATCTCAGCCTAAGTAGGTTGCTAAAAGCTGGCAAGTCAGCCTGAACTAGTCCGAGTTTTGGATGATGATCCATGATCTATGATCCTGATGTCAGATGAACAGTAAAAAGAAAAAAAATGAAAACCGTCTTTACAGTCAAATTAGATATATTAAGCATTTCCTGCCAAGAGACCTCCTGCGCTTCTGCAGAAAGCACCAGTCGTTTAGTTAAACAACATATGTAGCCCTGTAGAAGACAGAAGAATCATGTGTTTTATGTCACTGAAAACTGGCATGTCATTTGTATTGCTGTTTACATTCATAGTCAACCCAGAGTCAACGTTTGGTTCTTTGAACCACGGTAATGGTGATTTGTCCCTTGTCTTCATTCAACTGATGGGGTTCTTGCCGTGCCAAAAGGCTTAAAGCCTGAAGGGTGACCGTTGTTATTGTCTTTTCTATCGTCACACCTTTGCTAGTAAGACAGTAGGAGAATAAATAAATAAAGCATATTGGAAATTACTTGTTTCTGATTTTATACTTTTCCTTTTTTCTGTCCCTAGCTCGGAACGTACAGAAGGGAATGACTCGACTTAACAGCAGATCAGTGCCACTCATCTGCTAGACTGCTCAACAAGTTGGTAGGTTCAACTCAAACCTTCTACTTCTTTGTGTCTTCATCTGTTTCTCACTCGATCCCTGTATAGTTTTTATCTATATGTCTCTCGGTCGTCCACTTTAGTATAGCTAGCTTTCTATCTTGTTCACTTTTGCTGAAATTGTTCTTTCTGTTTCTTGCCCTTCATCTCATTAAAGAATAAGAAGATTAACACCAATTTGCCTTGATTGGGCCATTCTTCTTGCAGTTCAGAAAATAAAAACGGAAGAAAACATGCTCTGCAATTTGAACACGTGCAGCAAACAAGTGATTGCAATCAATAAAAAAGAGAGAAGGAAAAGGGGGGGAAAAGTGAACAAGTAAAGCAATGAATTGCCAATTTTTGTTCCTGTCAAGTGCTTTTGGAAGGCAGCTCTTGAGGAAAAGCTGTTTCCGCTGAAGGACTCTGACAGCATTTGTGTGTGTGTGTGTGTCTGTGTGTGTGTGTGTCAGTCAGAGGCAGTGACGATGGTTGCTCAGCATTCAACAGAGCCTTATTATTAGCCTTTTTAATTTTATTCCCACAATGGTAATGTGAGATTACAAAATCTGCAAATATGATGTATGAAAGAAAAAACAAGTCTCAAGGTCACTGTGATTCCAGGTGCTGTTTTTGTGTTTCACATCTTTTTTAAATGCAGTTTGCAGTCTGCTACAGTATTTTGTGTTTCGGCAGCACAAAGGATGTAAAATATTCAGCATCAATTCTCACTGAGTGACACTGTGGGCATCAGGGACTATTAACTCTCATTTGTTTGTGATGGCGATACTGCTATCATATTTCTGTTTAAGTGACAGGTCAACAGCACATTGTTGCAGTGCTGTAGGAAAATAAACTGACTTCTGTTGACATTGTATCATGGTACTCAGGAAAAATACGGGCCCAGTACCACTACTTCTTAGTGTATACATAATGACAGGCTATTTCAATTCTTCCCCTGACAGTTCAGACTTTAAGAACACAGCTTGTTGAATCCATAGCTTGGGCAGCTGTGTGCCATTCTAATGTTACTTTAGGCGTACAGATTTAGGGGGAAGTTGTCCTCAAATATTAGACTCAAAAAACTCTCGAAGTTGGTTTGCAAAAATCAGTGGTTGGGTAGATTCTGATAAAGAAGTTGCTCACTGGAAACCAAACCCATGTCAACCAATCACATGTCAGAGGAACTGAAATTCACTCCACCCAGACTTGTCAAGTGATAATTGTTTATTGCCTTTTATGTAGTTAGACAGGAGATATGATATGAAGTAAGGGTGGTGGATTTGAGAAATTCCTGTATTCTTGAAATTCTCGATTTTTTGTCCTCTTTCACTCTTTCCAACGCCCCTCCCTCCCGCTTTCTTTATTTTTTCCATCTTCAACATTAACATTAACCAAGTGTTACTGTGTGTTAACAAGCCACTGCTTTTTTCCCCTCCCCCTTCTCTTTAGATTTGTATCCATCTTCTTTGTCCCTTGTGTGCCGATAATACAAAAGGGCACATCAGTTACAATTACAACATCTTTTGTGTTGTAGCAAGTTGAAATTGTAACTGAACAGGAAGGAGTAGGTCTCGAATAATGAGCAAAAATGTAGGGAAGTCAGATGGGTGAGGAGGGAAAGCAATAAAGAAATGAAACCCAACATCATCCACGGTGAAGTGAAGTAAAACATGAAAGATATTAAAAAGAAACAGACAGAAAGGAGAGGGGGTAAAATGAGAGGGGAGTGAGATAGGAGAGATGGAAGACAGGAAGAGGGATCATGAAAGATTGAGAAGTTGTGAAATTGAAATCAATGGATTTATTGTTAACAACATGTTTGCAGTATCAGTTAAAATAACAGACATATCTTCATTACTTTTCTTATTTCTACTGGCTTCAAAACATTTGGTTTAAATGAACTAAACTGAAAAAGTAAAAAAAGTAGATATTATTATGACCATTTTAATTTCACATATCCTCCATCACTGATGATATCATTCTTGCTAGTGGTGCACCACTGCTAGATGAATGTACAAGACAAAGCTCTATTAAAAGAAGTTGGTATTTGCTAAATTGCTACTAAATTTCTATCTTAGACCAAATTCAATTTTTGGTTGGTTTCATGGTTAGCCTGTAATAATAACAACGCCCATGTGTCTACTTGTTTGTTTTATGGATGGCAATGCCCAGTGGCAGTGTAAATAAAGACAGGCAGCTCAGCACACTGCTGCCACCTTTCTGGTCTTCTGTCCTTGTTTATCTCACTTCTGTGTCAAGTCAGTTTATTCACAGTCAAATGACAACATGCATTCTCTCAGGGCACTTATCATGTAGCTCAGGTCGAGACATAACTCTTACTGATGAATTTACAGAGACACACACTTGGAGAGAATGACAAGGGAGCATTTTTAGTTTTCCAATCAATTTTTTCACCACAGATGTCCATGTGAGCGTGTTGTTGACTCACAGACGGTGGCATCCCTGTAACTGTCTTTCTTTTATTCATCCCTCTCTCTTTTTTAATCCCAGAGGAGAGAGGGGGATTAGGTGGGAGAAGGGGAAAGGTAGGGGATGGAGAGAGAGAGATTATCCCAGCAGATTTGCACTTGTGAACTCTCTGAAACTCAGGTCAGATAATGTGAGAGTTATATGAACAGAAGGAATGAGAGAAAGAATGGAAAAGAGGAATGAGACAAATGCCAAAGAGTAATAGGAAAAGGGGAGGGTGAGATGATTGGTGGAGTAGATACAGAAAAAGGAATGTATGGATTATTTCAGATGAGCATTGTTGACTTGATTGTTGTGCAGCTGGGACAGAAATCCTGAACCTAAGAAAACCTAACCTAACTGCTTCTTCTCTATAAAGCTCTTACAGAAACCCCTTCTAATATTATCCATTATAGTTTTTACATAGTGTTTACATTTTACTACATTTGATTTTGAAGTCTGTGCAATTTTATCTGTAGCGGAAATAGTTTTTGCTATTTTCTTTTTGTGTAATGTGGGAATTCTTCTTTATTTGAGAGGAGAAGTGTGGACATTTTCTCATGGAGTAATACATTTGTGGAAACACCTTTGTTAACAATTATTTACATGAAAAGACATGAGTCAGCTCAGTATCTGCAGAGCTCTGATTTTGATCTTTAACATTAGATTTGGCTGTAGGCAGCCTCACTCTTGTGGTGCACTTGAAGTTGCGAGTTTGTGGATTAGAAGCCCTACCTCCAGAGGCTGCCCCCTTCGTCGCACAAAGTTTTTGGATGATCTTTTTTATCCCCAAGGGGCTATTTGACTTGCAGTTGTAAACACCAGTGCACTCATTATAAACTAGATGGAGTTCAGAAAGCACATACCTCCAACAAGCCTAAGTCTCTATAATACTAAGTTAAAGAAAGTTAAAAGGATCTGTCTGTTTATATGAATCTGCTTGAAAATGCAATGGGTTCTTTTTGAGTCATGCCAACCCCTCCACTGAATTTCATGGAAAGTATTTTTTATGTAATCTATCAAACAAGCAAAAACAGATGAAAACATAACCTCCTTGGTGGAGATAACAATAAATTAGACAAAATAAATACAAACCAAAAAAACATAGACATACTTCTAAAAACTCTGCTTGTCCTTGTCAAAACATGCATGCAATAACTAGTCGATTTACAGCATGTTTAAAAACAGCCGATGGGACAAATCTTCTCAAGTAAAGCCTAGTTTATGCTTCTGCGTCACGTCTACGCCGTACCTACGCCGTAGGTCGTTGAGCATTCGAAGTTCTGCGTCGAGGGAACGCGTTGCTCTGCAATTCACCGCCATGCCGCTAGGGGGTGTAGCGGTGTGTTTGTGTGGTTATAGCCGAATCCTCGCTTTTTCTTCCGTAAAGTAAACAACAGTTAAACAATGGCGACCGAGGTGGAGCAGCTGTATTTGTTGTTGGAGCTCATCAATATTGAAGAACAAATGCTTATATTGCAAATGTTGAAGCGCAAGCTACAAAGAAAACGTTTGCGGAGGTGTTTTTTACGACGAGGGAGAAAGACCGGAAAAGCAACCGCCGGAACTTACGTTCTGAGCGGACCAATCACAGCGCTTACGGTCTGCGTCGACGTCCGCGTAGTTAGGATTTTTGGGAGGCGCACGTCAGGCTACGGCGTAGGGGTCTGCGTCTACGCCGTAGCTACGCCGTAGCTACGGCGTCGACGTGACGCAGAAGCATAAACTAGGCTTAAGATTCATCCCTGCTTAGGTAGGTGTTCTTCCTTCATAATGGCAAGAGACTAAACTCTGGGTGAAGAGGGTGAGTGTCTGCCAAAATGGCCTTTGCCCTCTGAGTGGCTCCAACTTCATAAACATAGCGGAGGTTATTCAAGTTAGAGCAGATGGTATCCTGGCAGAGATTTAGAATCTTCAGCAGTCTGTTCTTGTTAGTCACAAGCGTTGCCAAACCAGCAGATAATTGCAAAAGCTAACCCCCCCCCCCCCCCCCCGACAAAAAAAATCTGTTCTCCTCCAGCATCAGGTTAAATCTGAAATGTGACAGCTTTTTGCTTTGCTTCTGAATCCTTTTCCTTGTTGTCAACTCTCCTCTCATTACGTGGTCAGACTCCACTGACATGTGATGTGCCTCTGCTGCTACACTTACAGTTTATAGCTGCAGTGTCAGACTATGTGGTGATAAGTAGTTTCTTCAGTCATTTAACGTTGGCACCTTTACCGCGAAAATTAACCATATGGGAGTTATCTAATTAATGTATTATTGTTTTACTGTGTAACACCAGTCACACGGCAGCGACTAGACATAATTCTCTCTGGCCTGGAGGATAGTGATAAAAAAAGGTCTTGCTAATGTGCTGGAACGTGGGCAATCCCAGAACATAGGGGTAAGTAAGACTGGTGACTGCCCAAATTGGTCAATAATCGTGCATTGTTTTTTATATTATTATAATTGTGAAGGACAGATTTTTGTATCTGGAAAGTCAACTGTGGATAGCATCATTATCGCTACCATCTGACATCAGGTGTCT